GTCACAGGCAACTCAACGGCACATAACAATTTAATATAAATGGAATCATATAAATCTGCATTTTGGAGCAATCCTTGACAGGAGATTCTCCAATACATCTTTTGATTTCTTTATTTCTAGTATCGGGGGTATTGGTTGTGGTTCCAAGTAGGATTAAATTATTAGCAGAATGAGTCTTCTATCCATCTATCATGATGTTGCCTGCTGGTCTAGAGGTGAGAACTTCTATTTTATTATTTTTGAGATGTAGTTCATATTGAAGGCTATAGAGTGGACACAGAGGTGGTAAAGCTCTAAATGGCAAACTCTGGTAAAGTAGTCTGTAGGGAGTTGCACTAACTATCACAAAGGCAGTGCTTCTCTCATGGTTCAAGTCTACTTTGGCTCTTTGAGAAAACCTCCAAGCAAAACTCAGGAGAACCAGCTATGAGTTGGTTCCAACTTCAGTGAATTTTAGTTTTGTGAATACTATAAAGACAAGAGAGAAAATGGCTATCACAGAAGTCAGGATAATGGAGAATTTTAGGATAAATACTGTTATTTTGGCTCTATAATCAACACTTTTGGCACCAGTAGTCATGAAATAAAAAGACGAATTGCATTGGGAACATCTGCTCTCAGGGACATCTCCAGAGTGCTGAAGAACAATAATGTCAGCCTGGAGACTGAGGTGTGCCTGATCCAGGTCATGATCTTTTCAATTACTTGCTATGTATCAGAGAGCTGGACAATGACTAAGGATAACAGAAGAATTGATGCTTTGAGTTGTAGTGCTGGAGAAGAGTATTGAACATACTGTGGATCACCAAGAGAACAGTCTGTCCTGGAGAGGATGAAACCAAGCTGCTCCTTGGAGGCTAGGATTTTGGAGGGTCCTTTGAGCACATGGCCAGGAAGGATGAGTCTGTGGAGAAGGACATCATGCTCAGAAGGGTAGAGGGACAGATCAGGAGAGGAAGATCCTGGATGAGATGGATTGACACAGTAACTGGGGTAAGGGGGATCCTTGTGTCAGGGTCAGTGAGACTGCCTTAGGATAAGACTGGCTTCAGAGCTGTTGTATATAGGATCACTATAAGTCACTAAAATCAGGCCCCAGGAATAGATGGTATACCAATTGAAGTATTTCAGATAACAGATGTTGCCCTGGATGT